CACTCACCTTGGCCTCCCAAAGTGCTGGGATTACAGGCTGAGCCACCGAGCCCAGCCAAGACTGAGTCGTTTTTAACACAGATTCTCTATACTGAAAACAATTTGTTACAGCTCTCAAAAGGGAGTTCTGGGTATTTTTCTGTCTACGAAGGACCCATTAGTTCTACAAGAGGAGATAAAGAATTCTGTGCCAGCCCTGTGTGTCTCATCTAACATAACTTGTGGCTGGAATCACCCTAAAAATGGTGTTAGGGGAATTTCCACAAGGGAGTGCCCCAAACCAAGATGTGGCTGATTGAGATTCCAAAGAAAGAAGCACTAAATGCCAGGGTGATCTGTCCAAAGCACTTACCGAGGAGTTTACAGAGGGCTATAGCAATCCTCATGAGGAAAAGTGAGAGGAAAGGGGTGTTCTACCAGGTACATTCACCCAGTGAGGTGGTCAGAGAATGGAGTTTATATGAGGGTTTAAGGAATTTGGCTCAAGACCAGAGCAAGTTCCTTTCAGTGTTTTGGGCAACAACCTAAATGCCTTTATCAATGCCCAGGAATGCTCAAGGCCCTGGTTTGGGTTCAAGTTTGCTAGGAAAAACCTGCAGCAGGCTAGGTCACAAAGTGGTCAAAGTACTCTTTGATTTTCAGTCAGGACACAGAAAGAAAGTGGGGAGATCTGAGGGGTTCTACACTGTGGCTTCCTCTTGCTGACTTTTGGTCTAAAACTCAAGCCTTCCACTTCTGGCCTGCTGCTTGATGGGGAAGGGCTGGTCCTTTACGGCCATTCTGACCTAAGGATTAAGCGCACACCAAAATTTTAACAAGTGGCGGCTTGCAGGATTAGTCAGTTTAGGCAGGTCATTGAAGCCTCGTTAATTCTGTTGGTCATTGATGCCATTGTGCACTGACCTCTGCCCCAAGAGGCAAACTCATGGCTTGGGCTCAGTACGTAAGTGTGAGTAAAGCTGAAAGTCATGCATGATACAGTTGAGGTGTTTACATTTAATTCCACCAAAATGACACCATGAAACGAGAGCATTCTGAAGACATTGACGAGAGGAAAATGGAACAAAAGCTTCCACATGTACTTGACTCACGCATGAGTCATGTTTAGTATTTGCCAGTAGAGGGAGGACCTTCTGGACTTTGCTTTTGTCACAAACAAATGGATTTCTGATCATGTGGATCATGATGAAAGACCAGACAAGCTTGCCTGGGTTGAAGAGAGGTCACTAGCATTAGCACCTTCATGATCTCTTGTAGGGACTAAAAACAAATGATGGCCCAAAAGTCTCAGGATACAGGAAGTAAGAGGAAAGTCTGTGTTCCCAAACTTGCTAAATGTTTAACTTCCAACCCAAAAAGTTTTAAAAATAAGAATTATCTCTATTACCATTTCTTACCCCCGGTTCCATTTTTTTCTCCCTACATGATGTCAACACTTTTGGAAATTATTTATCTCTAGTGGTAAGTGTCAAGGTCTGTAGAAAACAGTGATAGACAAAGGGGTCATAGAGTCAGAGAGTTGGGCTGGACAGATCTTGATACATCACAATCCCCCAGAATTAAGAGAAAGCAGAGTCTGAAAACCAAACCACTTTCTTTCTCCCTAGAAAAAGTGTTTCCTGCATCCATTAAATTCATCCACCAGGGTTATTTACCATCCCCATGCCATGGACTGGAGTGCACCATAAAGAGAACTACAGCAGTGACTACAGTTGGTTCTAGAAAAGTCAGACCCCCAACAGCCTCCGCAGGACCATGAAGTATGATGTGTATCCTCAGGTTTTTGCTACCTTCTCCCAGTCTGGAGCCTGGGACCACCAGGTGAGAAAGGTGGTTAGTCCTGGGAATAAAGCGTGTCAATGACACTTTGGAGGATGCCTGTCTGCTCTGAGTACCTCCTAATTCTATCTGGCTATGGCTAATTTCTTTGGAAAATTGTCTCTATCTACCAGGTCTGGAGGAGTTAGCACAGCTCAGATATAGGATTAAATCAATAAAGCAAATGTTTGTTTCTGTCTGGGTCACATCTCTATATATATTCATTTAACAAAATAATTATTAAGTATCTAGCCTCTCAGTCTGTCCATCTCAGTCTATCTGTGAGCTGAAGGATATGGATTTCTGGTCTCTCAAAAAACTAGAGTCCTCCCAACACCCAGGCCATGACTACAGGATGTTGCCAACCAGTCATTCAACAAGTATGTATGAGCACCTATGTGGGACAGGTTTTGATAGCAAAAACATCTCAATCATGGAGTGAAATGAGGAACACAAAGTCCAGACCTGACCTATGACTAAGAACTTCTCTGCCTCATGGAGGAAGGGGTTTTTCTTTCATTGGAAAGGCCTATGAATGATGGCTAAGACCACAGACAAAACTGGGATATTGCATGTAACAGTTCCATGAGTTCAGGATAAAAAGCAAAGACATCTGGAGATAGTAGATGATTGTTTGCTCACTGTTGATGCCATTAGTATCAGCATCACCACTACTGTTAAATGATGGTACTATAACATGGTACTACTGTTAAATTATAGTACTATAGTAAAATATTAGAATCCAGTTTAAGGCCATGTTTCCAAAATTTATGCAGCACCTATTATCATCCAGGCCTTGTGGCTACAAGTTGGTTAAGATTCAGACTGCTAGATGTTGTAAAAAGCAAGAAAATGGATTCTCCCCTAAAGCCTCTGAAAGAAGTGTTCTAGGAACCTGATTTCAGCCCAGTGGAATTGAGTTTGAACTTCTGTCTTCTACAACTCTTAGATAATAAATGTCTATTATTTTAAGTGACCAAGTTTGTGATAAATTGTTACAACAGCCACAGGACACCAACAAATCTGTATAGTCCAAATCCCTGTCAAGCTGAATTTCCAACAGTCTTGGAAGTTCCCTCATGCTCCCTCCTATTGTTTTCCCCATCCACAGGTTTTTATTCTTATGTAAGGCTTCTATTAATCAGAATAGTGCTTTGAGATGCATTGACATGATGCATGTCTATAGCTTGTTTCTTGTTATTGCTGGATAATTGTCCATTGTATGAATAGATTATTCTCCTGTTGGTGAATATCTTAGCTACTATAAAGCCATTACAGATAGATATTCTTTTAAAAAAAAAAAAATTCAGACTGCTTACCAGATAGTGCTTAAGACAGAGATTATACTGAACATTTTTATTAGGTGAGACAAATGACATGATTGACTGGGGCACCTAGAAACTAAAAAGACTCAGAGATTCATCATGAGCTACTTGGGTGTCATTGGAGCAAGTTTCTTTACTTCCTAAGACCTCTTTTTCCATTTTTTTTTTTTTTTTGAGTTGGAGTCTCACTCTGTCACCCAGGCTGGAGTGCCATGGCACGCTCACAGCCACCCCAGCGTCAACCTGCTGGGCTCTGGTGATCCTTCCTCTTCAGCCTTCCAAGTAGCTGGAGCTACAGGCACACACTACCCCGCCCAGCTAATTTTTGATTTATTGTAGAGACGAGGTCACGCCAAGTTGCCCAGGCTGGTCTCAAACCCGTGGG